GCGCCAAGAGCTTGAACAAGGCGTATAGGACAGAGAGTGAATACACATACTAGACAGAGATGCTGTATGTGATTTTGGAACATTGAACAATGTAAATCTATTCTAGTAGACCTTAACAATGGAATTATGATGAGTAGAAATGGCCATGACATGGGACCTTTTTTAAAGAGGCCCTATTATACTTTTTGGGTGTTCGCTTTCCTGTAGTGAGTTATATACGTAGGTTTTTGTGCATGTGAATGATCTGCAAAGGCTAAAATCCCAAAGTTCCCTCTAGAGGGAGTTTCTCTCCCACACACTCCCCCCTCTGTCTGAAACACCTCCATGTTTACGTACAGAACAAGTTACATCCCTACGTAATACTCGTGCTTCTATGTGCGCGACCTGCAATTGTTTTTGTTACGTGTGACCTGGGCATTCTGATGAGTGATAGATGACTGTATGCCAGGAGGTTGCAGTTTCAACGAGCGTTGGCTAGCAGAAGACAAATGCAAGCCATGGCTAAGACGAGGGTCAAGCCCACGAGTAGCCTCCTGCAAAGTGTGCAAAAAATAATTTCAGTTCTTCACGATGGGAGAGTCTGCGCTGACGAGCCACATGAAAGGTACGCCGTAGTAGAGCATTTTGGATTAGGCTAACGTTGCATGTTACGTTGGTTTAAGCTAACGTTGGCAAGCTGAATAGCGAACTCAATGAGGGATAATAATAATAATTGCAGGGGACAATCGTTTCAGAGGAGCTTACCTATGTTATGTGCGTTATAGTCGCCATCCTGTGGTGTTCAGAGGATGTGGTGTGTAGAGACCTCATAATCACACATGATAGTAGTGGCGGTTCGCATTTGTTATGCGCAGGAGGGGGTTGGGAGGCGGCGAATAACGCAAGGAAAAAGCAGTACAGTTTGGGATTAGCCATTGTTAGTCCAGTGAAGGTAGGAAGCAGCACTCAACCAGAGGTCAACAGTCCTTGTTTTTCCAAGTCCTTGGTTGCTTATAGCATAAAGAACATCTGATTTAATGTGAGGTAGGGAAATAATCATTTAAGTATAAGTATGTGTATATAAATATGTAATTTACAACAGCTGTAAGATGCTTGAAAAGTGCTTGAATTTGACTTATTTTCAGGTTCACAGTTGTATTGTGTGTCTTCTGTGACATATTTACATGCTTTAATGTTCAAAAAGCTCTTTATCTTTCTCACACTACCTGTGTTGCAGCACCTCTTTTCACCCTCTGCCCGAAACCAGAGCCCAGTCTGCTCTGATTGGTTAGTGGTCTGACTCTGTTGTGATTGATTAACTGCTAAGAGATGTTCCGCCTCTTAGCCTATCACATACAATGTGTTGGAGCGCTAGCCAACCCCAGCACGGGTGTTGCATAGTGATGTTGTTGATGTTGTTGTTGTGTTGTTGTGTTACGGATTAAACAAAGGAGTCAAATTGAGGTGTTTCAGGCAGAGAAGCTCTCTGGAGGGAACGTTGGGATGTTAGCCTTAGCAGCCCATTAACATGCACACAAAACTAAATAACACACAACCGGAAAGGGAAAAACCACTAAAAAGCATAATAGGGCCCCTTAAAGGCTGGGATGATAAACTGACAAGATACAGTGGCAATGAAATATCCCAAGTCTCACTATTCTTTTCTTTGTTTGAATGCCTCCTGAATTTGATGGAAATGGTTTATTGCGTTTAGATGTTTGAGGGCCCTGGATGGGAGCCATTCCCTTTGTATAGAACGTGTTAAGCTGTCTCACAGAACATGTATTTTACCCTGCAATGAAGACAAATATCTGCTGCTTGTCAGGAAGTAATACATGAGAATGCATGATTTGAATAGTTTGATGCTCAGCAGGGTGTTTCTGGGATGACGACTTTGGCCGAAGGCCTGCTGTGTCAAATCTGTCTCACAGCACGTTTCTACTGAGCTGTTAATGGATTGTTTCCCAGACGTGGACCCAAACCGATGTGACAAAATACATTTTAAAGGAAATGTTGGTTAGAAAAAGTGCTAAATTATGTCTTTTTATGTTTCTCACATAGGGATTATCTTTTGAAGAAAGGCTCAGGTGGAAAATGTGCTAGCTGAGTAGGTTTCATGCAGGGAGGAAAGTTAGGGGCAGTAGAGTTACAGAAGAAACATAAGGCTATTAGAAGCACTGACCGTAAATGTCAATGGGCGCAGTGACCCAACCTCCTTTTGTTTAGCTTTTTATGGATTGTGCTCAGTGATGCATTATATCAAAATAACATGACCATTTCTACACACACTCTTTTTCTCCTTCTCACCACACTGAGCACTTGAACTCAACAGCTTGACAACAGCCCACACTTAAGAAGGACTGTCTCAATCCGTCGCCCCGCCTGCCGCTCCGAGTAATTTCATGTAATATCTGCTGATAACAAGTCCAGTTCCTAGATTATACAGTTGCACAGTGCACTCTTTAGTATATTAAAGTTATCCAAATTGATCCAATATATATGCTAGACAATGGAATGGCTCTGCAAACGACTTCACATAAATGAGGTAACATAAATAAACAGTCTTATACTGGGTAATGCTGTCGTTTATGTTTGGTCGTGTTTCTCCGGGCGCAGAGTGCAGCACCTGCTCTTACACACACAGGAGCTCAGTGTAGTAGAGGAGAGACAAATCTTAAACCCTCCCTTTGGGGATTCATGCTGCACTCGTTGCAATGCTGGGCATGAATGCTGCTCGACTGAAAACAGCTGTGTGACAGCTGACGTTAAGCCAAGGATCGGATCAGGCTGATGCAGATCATTTAAAAAATCACCTTGATTAGCCCTGATTCCAGTCTATGAAATCAGACTGGATCACTACTCTAAAGTTAGCAAAGTAAACAAAAAAGAAAACATGGAGAGAGTTTCACATTGGCGTCTCCCAAATGTGTAATTTCTTTTGAATATAAAAATAACTTTGGCTCAAAAGTAGTTTGCCTACTGCGAATGTTAAGAGCGTTGATGTGTCAGCATGAATGTGACCGTGACACATTTTGACACCTGGAGGCAGGCAGCCGGGTTTCTGCATTCACATGTCATATTAAAAAATCCCTCCGTCCCCGATGGGAGCTGACGCACAAAGCCTTATGCAAATGGGACCTGTTGAAACCAATTTACTCAATGTGTCTTTGGCCCATATTCTGCTGCGCTTAAATGTAAAAAAAGGACGATTTTTACTTCTGTCAGCACGATGTCTTCATGAATAAGCACTCTAAGTATGAATGCACTTGTTTGTGTTGTATAAGTGTAGTTGGCACTGAAATCCCAAATAAAGTTTTCATGCACTTAAGAGCTGGGTAGAAGAAAATGTACCATGTGTATAGCAAAAGGGCTTAACATTAAAATTGCACTGGAGTTGCTGGATAAATGCAAAAGTAGAAATAGAATGAAAATGAGAGGTGATGGATTCAGTGATGACATGAAAATGTAACCACCTTTCACCGTCTTTTCTCTTTGTTTGTACAACTGCCATCATTAATGTGACTATTCACAATAGTTTAAATTCAATTAAGACTTACCTTGCCTTTTATCTTATTTTTAAGGGGCCCTATTATGCTCATCTTAAGTTTGTAATTTGTTCCTCTACTGTGACATGTCTCCATGCTTTAATGTTCAAAAAGCTCTTTATTTTCCTCATACTGCCTGTGCTGCAGCACCTCCTTTCACCCTCTGTCTGAAACCAGAGCTCAGTCTGCTCTGATTGGTTAGCTAGCCGGCTCTGTTGTGATTGGTCGACCGCTTAGAGATGTCCCGCCTATTACGTACAATGTGTTTGAGCACTAGCCAATAGAAGCGTGAGTGTTACGTAGTGATGTCACTATGTCATGACAGTAAACAAAGAACTACAATCAAGGCGTTGCAGGCAGGCAGGCAGGGAGGGGAGTGAGTGGGAGAGAAACTTCAATCTATAACAAACTACAGGAAAGGGGAAACCCCAAAGAGCAGTACAGGTCCTGTTTAAGAATTCCAATTATTGTGACCTTTTTGCCCTCTGTTTTATCCATTGAAGTCCAAAATGTATTTGCTAAAGAGGTCAATCAAAGCTAAATCCAAACTCAGCTGTGGTCAGAGAGCAGAGAAACTGGGAGAAGGCTCATAACTCTCAATCTAAAGCCAGCAGGGGTCGGCCATACTGTAGTATGTAGTGCTGAGAGTTCCCTAGGAGCATACTAAGTGTGTAGTTGTTACTTTAGCTGCCTGTAATTAGGGTTCAGTAAACTAGTTTGATAATTACGTGCTTTACATTTCCCCCTTTTCCTAACTGCTATGTGCAGGAAAGGAGACTTGTTTATTTATTAGCAGCAGTGGTGACTCTTAATGTGTTGATTTCCTAATGTGAGCATTTCCCTACTCACTGATTCCCCAATCTGCAGGGAAATACAAGCTTGTTTAATTTCCTTTTAATTTCTAATAGCTGTAATTATCTCTATCATTACCGTGTCGGTAATGTTCCCTAATGAACCATTATGTGATTTCTTGTGGTCAGTGTTTTGGCTTTTTGTGCTTAAGGATCTTTTTTCCCTCTATTCCACATGGCAGGGTTATTTTCTTCTTATTCTGTAGCCGGCAGTGTGGCAGACGGCTGTGTAAAAGGGCCATTAAGCTTTTATTCTTCCTTGTTGTTGGCATGTTGAAAAGGGGCTAATTCAAAATCAACAGCCTCCAAGTCGGCTCTTCTAAGACCACATTTAGAAAAATACACAATAAAATCTTCAAAATATGTTCGGTCAAATTGACTTAAATTGTAAATATTTTTACATTTTCTAATTTAAAAAAAGTGTTACCGTCACTAGAGTTCAAAGGGTGACTGCTATTTTACTCCATGCTTCAAAGCTACAGTTTTTTATATGCTGTCTGTTTTCAAATATGGCAAGATAGATTTACATTACAAGGCATGCTCCTCATTATTAAAAGCATCCATTAACAATATTAGTGACAACAACTTAATATGTCCTCTCTCTTAATTTTTGGGGTTTAGGGAATCGGTGAAACAGGAGCCACAGGATGATGACTTTGCTGCAAAGAAGAAAGGCATGAAAAGAAAGAGGATTAAGGATGAGCCCATAGAAGGCGCTTCACACTCCACTGCTACACCCAAGTAAGTGTGATCAGCTCTTTAAGCCGTGGATTGGCCCGGAAGGAAAGCACTTTTTACTTGTAGAAAGTTGTTTTGCTATCTAAAACACATGTTGATGTTTGATAGTTTATCAGCTTCCCGTCTTCCTTTCTTCTCCATATTGTGTTAGCTATAGGGTTGCTCAATTCATATCATTGTTTATCAAAATATCAATGCAACCTAGGGCAGAGTCCTGCATCGGGTCGGGTATCCGCGGGTACCCGACGGGTGACCCGCAAAAAAGGTGATTTGCGGGTGGTATTTTTTCAAACACTTTTTTCCGGGTTCGGTTCTGGGTAAAACAAAGATGATGCGGGTCGGGTTGCGGGTGTTGCATAATAAATATATTTAAATAATAATAATTTAGTTTAATGTTTAAATCCTTAGACCTCTCCCCCGCGGGACCGAGCATAATCATAACCTCTGCAGCGCATCAATCTGCTGCTGAGCGCGCCACATTCTGAATGGCTGAGGTGAAGCTCTCTAGCGGAGAATACAGAATTTTCAATAACTCTTCCTCAGGAGCGAAATCCCACGTCTGGGAGGCTTTTGGTGTCATCCTAGATGCAGAAAATAACCAACATCCCAGGCTTTTTGAGCCAAATATGCAACTGCGTGTGTTAATAATTGCACGTTTTCACTGCTTATATATATGCGGGTTCGGGTTGGGTTGCGGATCTTGTGCCTGCGGGTCGGGTCGGGTTGCGGAACTAATTGGCAATATGTGCGGGTAGCGGGGCGGGTTCGGTATTGCACGTCGCGGGTGCGGGGCGGGAGCGGGTCTTGAAAATCAGACCCGTGCAGGACTCTGACCTAGGGCAAGATTCAAATAGCAGGAAGCACACACTTTGTTAAAGGCTAAATAAGAATAAAGTATTGAGGTGCTTTAGAGAAATGGTACTCTACAGTCTTAAGAAAACCTCTTTGTTTCGTATAAATCCTCTTTAAAGGGGAATTATTCTGCTCATTTTCAGTTTCATATCTGTATGTAGTGTCTCTACTGAAACATGTCTCCATGCTTTAATGTTCAAAAAGTTCTTTATTTTTCTCATACTGCCTGCCTCTTTTCACCCTCTGTCTGAAACCAGAGCCCATTCTGCTCTGATTGGTTATCTGGCCGGGTCTGTTCTGTTGTGATCGGTCAACTGCCTAGAGATTTCCTGACCCATAGCCTATCACTTACAATGTGTAGCAGAGGATTTTAGCCTTAGCAGACCCTTTACAGGCACAGAAAGAATATATAACACACTGCAGGAAGAAGTGTCATTCTAAACGAAATTGCGAGTCAGTCAACATGTTCGCAATTTGTCATTGTTTCCAAATGATGCACCTCCAGTAAGAATTATAACTAACTACTAGTATTCTGTCTGTCTTCTGGGTGCCTGCAGATCAAAGAAGAAAGATAAGAGAAATGGGCAGGAAGAAGAAAGTGCTGGAGAAGATCAGAGAAAGAAGTCAAAGAAGAGAAGAGAAAAGGTAAAGCACTCTGTCTTCATCAGTAATACCCCCCTCTGCTTTATGAAGTTTGACGGAGTTTGAGTTCTTTGAATTCACATGTCGAGTTTTTCTCGGCACAGGCGGTAAAGAAAGATGATGGAGAGCACCCGGTGTCCCAAAAACCGAAGAAGACAAAAAAAGAAATCACGGAGGCGAGGGTCAAAAAGAAGGACGAGGAGGAGAAGAGTCGCTGGAGATGGTGGGGGAAAGACACACATATTCAAACACAAACTACCCGGGGGGGCAACCGGAGAGCTTTCACTCACTTTTTTTCCATCATCTTGCTTTCTGTCAGGTGGGAGGAGGAGAAGTATGAAGATGGCGTGAAATGGAAGTTCCTGGAGCACAATGGACCCTTCTTCCCCCCCGAGTACCAGCCTCTGCCAGACAACGTTCACTTCTACTACGCTGGTCAGTGGAGCACGGAAGTTAAATGTGTCAGAAAGGGTGATTTGAAATGTGGTTGAAAGGCTTTATCCACTCTCTACATATCTTAACTCATGACTGCAATTTTGAAATATCTTGGTACCTCTCCGCTGCTGTAGAGTCTATTCAAAGCAAATCGCTCCACTTCAAGCACTATACAGTAATATCACTTCTGGACGGTTTTTGTGGGTTCTTTCCCTTACCTTTTGTACCGGCTAAAATAACTGGATGGCCTACCTGCCTGTCAGCCTTCCATCTGTGCACAAACTTATCTCGTGCCCTCATTGGTCATGGGCGCGTTCGTGTGTGTTGGAGGAGGAGCTCTGTAAGGAAGTGGCAGATTTTTTCCGGTTGTGTATTTTCAAATTCTAGCGCCCTCAAGCTGGTTTCTCAAACTTACCTGCCCCACCTTTAAGGGGAGGCAGATAAAACCAAAAGTAAAAATGTGATGACAACAGATCATCAAAATATACCTTGACAAATATAAGAAAAAAGAACAATACACAAAAAATACACATAACTTTACATTTGTAAAACAAAAAGCAAAATCTTGCACATACCTGCAGTGCTTTGTGGATGTGTATGTTGATTTGTGCATAACAGCTGTAAAACAATCCAATAATAACTTGTATTCCTACGATTCAAAGCTTTATGCTCGTTAACACAGCTTTATGCTGTTTCGCTCGCCTCCTTTCAGTGCTTACAAAACACAACCGACTTTAAAATGCTATAGCAACATCCAGCCTGTTGGACGTTCAAGAAAAAGTGAAATTGCATAGCCTTCCCTCAACATTCTTTGGCCTCTTTTGTATCATTTGGATCAAATGGGACAGGCAAATGATACTGTTGTTTTGCTGGAAATATGTACCGTAATTTTCGGACTATAAGCCGCGCCTTTTTTCCCATTTTTCGACCCTGTGGCTTATATAACGGTGCGGCTAATCTATGGATTTTTACAGCTAACGGCCATTAGGGGACCTCCTAAATCTATGGATTTTACAGGTTACAGTCCACCACCTTTAACTCTATGGGCTCTATGGCCGGTCCGCGCCCCCCACCGTTAAGCGGCGGGCTCCAGCAGGAAAATCTGGAGGCCGGAAAAGAGTGAGACAGGTAGCACGCAAAAGTAAAAGTGGAACCGAGAGTGGTACGAGAGACAGAACAAGAGCAAGACAGACAGACATTACGAAAGCGAGACAGTTTGTCCCCGTACCACTGGTTGAAAACCACTGCCGTAGATCACTGCCGGTACGTGCGCTGGGAGCGCACCGTTTAAGTTTGAATGTTGAAAAGTTTGTGTGTCTGAAACGCTATGTGATACAGTACAGTTTACACAGCACAGTACATCTTCTGTAGCTACTATTGCACTAAATGGTAACACTTGAATACGTTATGCAAATATGCAACTTGTTTGTTGAAATGTTAATAAATGGGAGCTTCCTCAAACAGCCATCTCTTTCCCGACAATCCCCTCTGTGCACGAACCCTTACATATGGTAATTAAACATTAAAACACCTGCGGCTTATAGTCCAGTGCGGCTTATATATGTACACATCATTCAATTTAGCTGCTGCGGCTTATATTCAGGTGCGCCTTATAGTCCGAAAATTACGGTAAGTGCAAATCTTTTAAATTACAAAAAGAAACCGGACCAGATATAGAGGAACAGTGGACAAAGTTGCATATTATATAAAAAAAGATGTCTAAGAAATGGTTGTTTAAGGTGTGTTAAGTCAAACAGATTGATAACATGGTGCTATTGATTTGTTGATGAGTAAAGCCAAAACAGTTTAGCAGTTGTTTTGATTTGTTAGTTCCTGTGCTCTCATGTACAGCTCACTCTTTATAGTGGGGCTAAATGTAAATCTTTGTCCTTGCTTCTATAAATTCACTGATTAGTCTGACTGCCAGGACTCCACGGGAGCTGAGGCCTTTTTGAGTTTGTTTTTGTAACAACGTTAGGGTAGAAAGGCCAACTTGGTGGTTAAATAAAATAAAAAATGTGTTTTCTGTGTGCAGGAAAGAAGGTGAAGCTGAGCTTGGCAGCCGAGGAGGTGGGCTTGTTCTTCGCCCAGATGTTGGACCATGAATACACCACCAAGAAGGTGTTCCGGGAGAACTTCTTTACAGATTGGAGGAAGGTAAGGCGAGAAAGAAAGTCATAGATCTTCTAAATTCGTGGGGGTAAAGAAGCCTCACCTCACTGACCTTCTGAACTGACACCTTCAGCTCAGAGCTTTATCCCTAGCAGTAAAAAATAAATAAAGTGAATTTGACATTTAAATGAAAACAAGCCCTTTTACAATTTCAAATAAAACAACATTCATTTTCAATGTGACATTTGGTAATGTGAACCATTGTTTTTCTGTCCGGCAACATTTCCCTTGATGCTGCTACAATCATGACTGGGAGCTTTGACACCTGTAATGTTCCATGTAGATGGGTGCTTTTAATGGAGTTACTCTAACTGTTAATACAGAGGAATAAAACAGAGAAATCAGAAACACTATCTAGATGACATCAAAGTACAGTATCAGTGGTCTTTAGCTCTGTGTTGTGTATTGTAGAATATCTGTGTGTGTGTGACTGGTGCTGGTACCTGCGCTGTCGTCTGTCAGGATGTCCTCTGTGCGCAGAATGCACCGTGCCAAGCCCCGAGGTATATCATGCAGAATTAATTTTGCGCTGCTTAGTGCTCAATGCACTTGAAAATACGATTTGTGTGAAGGCATTGATATGCTAATCCTTACAAGTAGCTGCCCTGCATATGAACAAATCCAATTAAACTGTTTTATTATAGCCGGAAAAAACTCGTCTCGCTCCACTGCCCTCAGTGCCCGCCCACCATCGGGTGTCAGTCATGCTTAGATACGCACACTGACTGAGGGTCCACACTGTCGGAGTGTTTGTGGAGAGGTGTGTGTGTGTGCTTTTGATTCTCATATGAACCTAGGCGACAGTGGACTGGATCAGTGCTGCTCTGAGAAGCTTCCTCCATGACTCCTTTTATTATCTTTAATGGATTTCTTCAGGTTAGACGCCCTTTTGTTTGTCTATGGTTAGACCATATAAGTCTTTCTTCTATTGTGATTTCTATTTGAATTGAGAACGATAAGGCTCACCAGTTTTACTGATTAGCGATGTGTGAACACAACATCAAGATGTCCTTCAATAAGCCCGGTTCATTGTTTATCAGAATTAGTATTCTTTATTTATACTTTGGGAAATTGGGTTCTATGAAAGTTGCTTTATTTTTAAATTAAAATGATAAAATAATTACGTATTAATATTTCTATATACACAAGAAGTAAGAACAGACAATAAAAAGATAATATAAAATAGAGTAAAGGTTTTAATATGAACAAAAAAAAAATGTTTTCCAATGAAAGACTAATTAAATGAAAAGTGAGAAAAAAAAGATAGACAAAAAATGTATAGTTAGAATGTGTAATGAAAATAAAATGAAATAGAAAGCATATATTAATAGTAACAATAATTAAAAATAAAAATGTTGAATAAAAGATCAAATAAAATAGAATTAAAATATTAATATAAACATAAATTAAAATGTGCTATGAAAGATGAAATGTAATGGAATAGAATACAAATATTTATATAAACAGTTGCACAATTAAAGCTACGTACAATATTTAACATGTATCGCTGTTATAACCTGGCGCTGGAGAACAACATGCCCGCACGAATCGTCACCTGAAACACAGTTGTTGCTCTACACAGTAATTGTTGTTCTCCAGTTCCTGTTTCAATAGCTTTCCTCCCCATAAATTCAATTCAAAATCCATTTGTGTTGACCTGACATTTTAGCACCAGAAACTTCCGTGATGAAGCACAAAGCCCCCGCTGACTCGCTCTGTTTTTGACCTCTTTGATGGGGTGACCCCTTGTTCAATAACAGTAGAAAGTTGACAATTATAGTTGAAACTCAGCTGCTCCGCTCTGCTGTGTCAAGCCTGTTTGTTTAGCTCGCTTGGCACTGCAGTTCTTCGGGGGAATGTGCTTTACTCTGGCCTTTCATAACGATTCAGCTTTTTTACCCTTTTCTGCCGCTCAGCCTCCATAAGGATGAACAATTAGACAAAAGGTCACGGATGTGCTTTGATCATGCTTGTCTTATTTGGTTTTATGATTTATTATTGTATTATGCTCTATTGGAGGCACAAAGGTTGCGTATAAATAGCTCCTAGTAAATTGTATGAAGCAGCAGAATTGTCTCTTTCTTCCCTGAGCTCAGGATTCTGACTCGGCACAGAGGAAGTGTTTGAATGTGCATTCTTTATGTGGTCAATATGGTGGACACTTAATTTGTTTTATCAGTATTTCTCAGCTCCAATACTAAATAACAATTGGACTGTGGATAAGAATATGCGAAATGTGGCCATTATTCAAGCAATTAATTCTTTTATTTGTTTACTTGTATTGGTTTCTTTATAGGCTACTGCTACAGACAGTGAAACGTGAGGAAAGGGGAGAGTCTACTTTACAATCAAACCGTACTGTTTATGCCTCCTTTTTGTTATGTATCCCAACCATTTCCCCCTGCCTTTTAGAAGTGTATCTTCCATAACTTAAGTGAGTTTCTGTATTATTAGAATATCACTAATGTTCAGCAGTGTCCGGTGCATCAATCCTAAACCAGTTCTGAGTGATAGCCTTCTTTCCAGCAGCATGGAGAATATTTATCTTCTTCATGTATAGTTCCATCCATATTTCCCAAATATAGTTCAATACAAGTTTGAGGTATTCCGTACCCAAGTACCTCGCACAAAACGAGTTTCACACAATTATTTCTAAGTGACACAGTAAATTTGGGTTGCTACTTCAAATTATTTTCATTAGATTCATCTGAGAAGTCAAGCAGCAGACACTTAGATGTATAAATTGAAATAGCACACAAAAGAAGGAAAGATTAATTGAGGATACATTTTTTTTTTGCTGATTACATTTATTTTTTTATCACTAAAAGATGTCCCTGTTTTTATACATATATCACTCAAGAAGACTCCTGAAGCGCTGCCATACTCGGTGTTGAATCTGTGTGCTTGTGTCTCTTTAGGAAATGACCCATGAGGAGAGGACACTGATCAAAGATCTGGACAAATGTAACTTTACAGAGCTCTTCGCCATGCATAAAGCCAGGGTGGAGGCCAGGAAGCTCATGACCAAAGAGGAGAAACTGGTAACATGCTGGCCTTTTAATCTGTACTGTGCATTTGAATGCTGTTGTCTCCATAACTCACAGTACTGTCCTTCCTGGTGTCTAAAGAAGGTCAGCATGGATAATTTAGGTTCTGGATAACTCATATCTTTTTGGTTTTAGGCTGTGAAAGAGGCCAACCAGAAGATTGTTGATGAGTACGGCTACTGTCTGCTGGATCACCACAAAGAGCGCATCGGCAACTTTAAGATTGAACCTCCAGGGCTGTTCCGGGGCAGAGGAGAGCACCCCAAACAGGGCATGCTGAAGACAAGGATCCTACCAAAGCAAGTCATCATCAACTGCATGAAGTGAGAGCAGTGCACAATTAACATAATTTCTTTAAGGGAAATCCAAAATATGGTTTATTAAAGCAGTAAATCACTTAAGAGATTTAATTATGCATCACTTATTCACTCACAGTAGCAAGGATCTCAAGGGCTAAACGTTGATTGGCTGACCACAGAGGACATACAAATGCCGGCCTATAGGTTGATATAAAGTCTATAGGTTCATTTAATGTGGAAAACTCTGCGGTGCTTGGTAAGGTGTGTGTGTGCGTCTGTGTGTGTATCAGCTGTGTCGCATAAATAGCAGGCAGAATAGCAAGCAAATGAGTATTGGAAACATTTTAATTCAGGATCAATGCGTCATCTGATCAGCTCTTCTCAAAGACCTTTTTAGAGACTATCTATCAACATTTTTAAAGAGGCCCTATTACGCTTTTGGGGTTATCGCTTTCCTATAGTATTATATACGTCGGTGCATGTAAATGGTCTGCAAGTGCTCAAATACCTGTGTTTCCCAACCCTAAACCCCCGAAACTCCTCTTTTGGACTCCTTTGTTTACTTCCGTAACATAATGACATCACTATGTAACACTCACACTTCTATTGGCTAGCTCTCCAACACATTTTACGTGATAGGCTAAGGGGTGGGACATATTTAAGTGGTTGACCAATCACAACAGAGCCAGCCAGCTAACCAATCAGAGCAGACTGGGCTCTGGTTTCAGACAGAGGGTGAAAAGAGGTGCTGCAGCACAGGCAGTATGAGAAAAATAAAGAGCTTTTTGAACATTAAAGCATGGAGACATGTTTCAGTAGAGGCAAAAAATACAAACATGAAACCTTAAAATGAGCAAAATAGGGCCCCTTTATTACTGATAACCAGTTATAAAGATAAGAGCCCACACAAACGGGGCAATACAATATGACAAAGTCAACAGTAAATACAATTAAAGGCAATTTCAGCACCTCTAAATGGATAGCGCTTTGAAATGCTGTGTCTAGCACATTGTAGCAACAGATTGCCAGACTTAAAGGAAAGTGGCTTTTTATTTTCCCATCATTCTGGGTTTAGTTTGTAGTTCTGACTTCAGTCTCTTTTTAGTATGCTCTAGCTTGTACTCCAACGCTCACACACACCCTCTTTCCTGCTCTGTCTCTTTCTCTGACAGAGGATCCCGTGTCCCTGTGGCGCCTGCTGGTCACAAATGGAAGGAGGTTCGTCATGACAACACTGTGACATGGCTGGCCAGCTGGACCGAGAACATTCAGGGATCTATTAAATACATCATGCTCAATGCCAACTCTAAACTCAAGGTAGCCTGTCCTCCTACATACGGGCAACAGGCAGATGCCACATTACCATTCCAGTAAATGAGCACATATTAATTAGCAGTTGGATTGTTATAGTGCAGAGACTGGCACCATTTGTGTATTATGGTGTGGATTTGATATCTCTAATTATAATCAAGATTTAATAAATGTTTAGATGGTTTTCTCAGTTAATGGACACATATGGTCCTGAAGCACCTGAATGCATCAGCAGTCAATCATTGGCATAGTAGTCTCTTTACTCAACTGCTGGCCACCTAACAATACTGTCATTTTGACAGAAATGACAGTTACAAATTCAATTAGGTATCGCAGGCAAGTAACATTAGTTTTCTCCATGACTAGCTGACATGAACAGTTGAAAAACAACCATTCATTAAAAAAAACTACTAATATACTTATGGTATGTCATCTGACATTTATGGTGTTTTTAAAACAAACTACTTGCCCTTATTTTTGGCTTTTGCCTTTTCTTGTCTTATTTAATTAACCAAACAACATTTTTCTGACAACACTGATGAAATATAAAACATATGGGTAGTCAAGGCACCAGCATTTTTTAATGAAAAATTAATTATGGAATAAAAAAAGGTATATTTGAGCATGCAGAATCAGTTTTCATCAGTTTTTTTATTTTAAACGAATTAATTCACAGCATTTGAAAAGCGTGCCGTTGTTAGTAGCTACTCTGTTTTCAGGAAGACAGCTCGGTGTCTGCCAATTGGCAAATCCTATTGGCAGCCAGCATCTTGCTGAGCACTCACAAACTGAGCACGCGGTAATGATTGGTGCTAAAACACCCTGCATTCCAACTGAGATAAATTAACAAGTTGCACTAAAATGTATTAAGCTAAACTGGCAATCAAGTCATTAGAAAATACGGCCAATGCAATCATGACACAAAATAAGTGAAGAAATGTAAAGTGTAAATCTTTGCACAGCAATTAATGCTCATTCTGTAATAAAGGTATAGATTTATTTAATTGTTAAGCAACGGTTTGCCATTTACTTTGCAAATAAATTAACGGAATCGGGAAGGCCAATTGAACCCTTTTAACCCAAGTCTAACATGTGCTTCTGTTTGAAGCTGAGGGCCTGTGTCCACATAGCGTCTTTTTAATTGTTTTTATGACCACAATATGTCTACAACGTATCCCCACCGTTGTACGACAGCCTAGCATGGATCTTTTTTTACTAAACATTTTTGACACAGTTTTTTCACTATAAGCAACAACCGGAAGATTCATGCTCTCACAGTTTGTTTGAATGAGGTAGGCACCGCTCGGTCTGACAGCCATATAGCGAGGGAGGAGGACGATATAAGTCACACACGCACAGGCAGCAACATCCGCTCTCCATTCGACCAATCTGCTCCAAAACAAAATGCCTTTTCAGTCTTTGTTATAATATTGTTCTTTGGACCAGCACAGCCAAAAACAATCTTTTTATTCAATTTTCTTAAAAGTTGTAGTATTTTCAACTTTGAGCGGCCTCACAAAAAAGGCAGAGGCCTCAGGAAAAAGACGCTTGGCACATAGTTTCCGATGCCATGAGCTCTGTTTTCATTGGAATCAATTTTAAAAAGAAAAAGGCTTTGTGAACCTGGCTCTTATTGGGGTTTTTTTCTTAGAAATTCACGGTCAAATAAGCCAGAACTGTTTGTGTAGGAAATGTGCATTTACATTCTTTTATTTATTGGTTGTACATTATTAAAATGCCATTATGGTTTTGTTTGGAGAGTAAATGGCAATCCCTATGTGTGTTAAATAAGACATGTGCGACATCTTTGTTTTTTCCCCCACTTCTCTCATATCTCTTTTTCGCTCTCCTCCAAAACATCACTCCTTTTCTTTCTTCTTTCCATCTTTCACGTGTAAAGGTTAAGTTATTCCACTGTTAGTCTCCATGACAATAGGCCTGTGCGTGTTCACCGATGGTGCGTTTAATCGCCTTGGTCCAAACTCCCAATAAATAACCAGCAGTAAACAAGCAAAGTAATGTTGTCATTAAAGTAGTGTGATATAACATAGCATTAATGTCACGATAACCATTTTGAATTATGTCAAAGAAACTCACTTCATGTCTCCTCTTTCCTTTTCTCTATCTCTATACCTTTTGTCCCTCCTTGTTTCCTTACTTTCATCCTTTGTAGGGAGAAAAGGACTGGGAGAAATATGAAGTTGCCCGCAAACTGAAGTCATGCGTGGGCAACATCCGTGAACAGTACGACCAGGATCTGAAATCTAAACAGATGCAAACCCGACAAAGAGCCGTGGCCCTCTACTTCATAGACAAGGTCTGAGCCGTGGTCAAGGAACAACTCTGGCGTGCGAACACAGCAATCAAGATGCCCAGATTTCTATGTTTACACGCCAGTGCTAGAAATAACTTTCACAGATTATCCTAAGTGCTCAGGTCTGATACCAGGAGCCACGTATTGGAAATCGATGCGATGCGTCTTGATTGCCTTCTCTTTCTTCTCACATAGCTGGATGGAAGATCTTTCGCAATGAGATAAATGGATTATATGTAGCCATTTTCTTCCAGCGACCCCAAGCTAATTATTTCTCTGCATTGAGTCAAATGATAGATTGAGTGTGTGATTGCTTTTGGCTCGTACCAAAGACTATTCAAATTCAGATTCAGCTTTGTTTACTTCTTTTTTATTCCTATCTAAGGACTCTTGAGTATGATTGGCAAATGCTTGGTGCTGGATGAGTATGTGTGGATTTGATGTGTTTCTATCTCTATCTTCTGAACTAAAAAAGCTGGCGCTGAGAGCTGGTAACGAGAAGGATGAGGGAGAGACGGCGGACACGGTGGGTTGCTGCTCCCTGCGCGTGGAGCACATCACCCTCCATGACAAACTGGACGGCAGCGAGTGTGTGGTGGAGTTCGACTTCCTGGGTAAAGATTGCATTCGCTACTACAACAAGGTGCCCGTCATCAAGAAGGTAAAGGAACAAAAAGTTGCCAAAGTACTCACACATGGATGTCACAATGCTAGAAGTATAATACCTGATATTAATCCCATCAGGGTTGGAAGGGGTTACTTTAAAAATGTACCGGTATTCTGTTGCGATTACTAGATGCAGGTAAAAATAAATGTTATCTGAGTATCGGAATATAAAAGGAATGTAACCTGATTACTTTCCAGGAAGATTTGTTTTTAAATATTGAAGCAAAATGAAGAAATCTATGGATACATCTCTCAACACCCATATGAAACAGAACTGTGAACAGATTTACTATTTCTTTATCCACTTCAAAACAATGGTACTTGCATACCATGCTGCGAATGGATCTGGCCCTTCCTACATCCAGGACATGGTTAAACTGTACACCCCAGCACGTGTACTTCGCTCTGCATCAGCCAAACGACTCGCTGCACCCTCGCTGCGAGGGGGACCCAAGTTCCCATCAGCAAAAACACGTGGGTTTGCTATCCTGGCTCCAAAATGGTGGAATGAGCTCCCCATTGAAATCAGGACAGCAGAAAGCTTACACATCTTCCGGCGCAGACTGAAAACTCATCTCTTTCGACTCCACTTCGAGCGATAGAATTACTAACAAAGAACTGCTAACAGAGCACTTATATACTAATAAAGGACTGGCTTATCTAAAGCCAGTTGAGTAGCACTTGAAATGTTTGGCTCTATGAAACCTGATGTACTTATATGATTCTGTTTTCTTCAAGGTTGTATCTTCCTGGTCGAATGTAAAAGCGTCAGCTAAATGCAATGTAATGTAATGTTTATGGATATTTTACAAATCACTCTCCTTTTAAACTTTATTCTTTTTTTACTGTCATATAGTATTTCATACCTGTTTTTCCTTTATTCTCTTATTTTTTATAATGATCATATAAACGTGTCCTCGGAAATAATTGTTTACATTAATGGTGACCAAAACGTTTGAGACCCACTGAGATAACACTGAGAGAGTCATTTAGCTCACTGAGTCTCTCAGTCTGACAGGAGAGGACTCTCCTCCACTTTGTTGTTGAAAAAACTCCTTACAGGACTGTCTCAGAAAATTAGAATATTGTGATAAAGTTATTTATTTTCTGTAATGCAATTAAAAAAACAAAAATGTCATACATTCTGGATTCATTACAAATCAACTGAAATATTGCAAGCCTTTTATTATTTTAATATTGCTGATTATGGCATACAGCTTAAGAAAACTCAAATATCCTATCTCTAAATATTAGAATATCATGAAAAAGTATACTAGTAGGGTGTTCAACGAATCACTTGAATCGTCTAATTAACTCGAAACACCTGCAAGGGTTTCCTGAGCCTTGAAAAACACTCAGCTTGGTTCAGTAAACTAAATCACAAGTATGGGGAAGACTGCTGATCTGACTGCTGTCCAGAGGACCGTCATTGACACCCTCCATCAGGAGGGTAAGACACAAAAAGAAATTTCTCAAAGAGCAAGCTGTTCACAGAGTGCAGTTTCAAAGCACATCCACAAAAAGTCTGTTGGAAGGGGGAAATGTGGCAGGAAACGCTGCACAACCAAGAGAGATGACCGCAGCCTTAACAGCATTGTGAAGAAGAGTCGCTTCCAGAATTTGGGGGAGCTTCAAAGACAGTGGACTGAAGCTGGAGTCCAGGTATCAAAAGTCACTGTTCACAGACGTGTCCGGGAAATGGGCTACAATAGCCGTATTCCCATGGTCAAGCCACTTCTGAACTCAA